CCTTCTCTCCTCCCCGTCCCCACTCCCCCTCTCCTCCAGCCTCGTCGTGGCATTCGCCCACTCCGACGACCCGCGGCACGCCCCCCGCCCGCTCCTCCACGCGCTCGCCCTCCTCGCCTCCCTGCCCTCCCCGCCCGACTCCGCGCGCCCCTACAACGCCGCGCTCCGCGCCCTCTCTCTCTGCGCGCACCGCGGCCTCGTCCCACGGTGCCTCCCGCTCTACCGCTCGCTCCTCCTGTCCGCCCGCCCGGACCACCTCACCTTCCCCTTCCTGCTTAAGGCGTGCGCGTGCCTGCAGGAGCGGGGCTACGGGGACGCTGTCCTAGGGCATGTATTCAGGCTCGGGTTCCACGCGGACGTCTTCGTGGCGAACGCCGCGGTGCACTTCCTGGCGGTGCGCGCGTCCATGGCGGAGGCACGCAGGCTGTTCGATCAGATGCCTGTGAGGGATCTGGTGTCGTGGAACACGCTGATTGGCGGCTATGTGCGAAGGGGCCTACCTGGGGAGGCCTTGGAGGTGTTCTGGAGGATGGCCGAGGATGGGACGCTGGCGCCTGACGAGGTGACGATGATTGGGGTCGTGTCAGGGTGCGGGCAGCTGCGGGATCTGGAGCTTGGGAAGAGGTTCCATGGGTATGTGGAGAGCAATGGAGTGAGGTGCACTGTGAGGCTGATGAATGTGCTAATGGATATGTATGTCAAATGCGGCGATTTGGAGCGGGCCAAGTCCGTGTTCGAGAGGATTGATGGCAAAACGGTTGTTTCGTGGACAACCATGATTGTTGCGTATACAAAGTTCGGGCTGATGGACGATGCGAGGAGGGTGTTTGATGAGATGCCTGAAAGGGACGCATTCCCGTGGAATGCGCTGATGGCCGGTTATGTGCAGTGTAAGCAGGGCAAGGAGGCTCTTGGATTGTTTCATGAGATGCAGGAAGCAAAGGTGAGGCCTGATGAGATTACCATGGTCAATATTTTATCGGCTTGCTCGCAGCTTGGAGCTCTAGAAATGGGTATGTGGGTTCACCATTACATCGACCGACACCGGCTTTCACTTAGTGTCACACTAGGCACAAATCTAGTTGACATGTATGCAAAGTGTGGGAACATCGAGAAGGCCATCCATGTTTTCAAAGATTTACCGGAGAAAAATGCGCTCACGTGGACAGCAATGTTATGCGGCCTGGCAAATCATGGACGTGCTGATGAGGCAATACAGTACTTCCGTAGAATGATAGAGCTTGGATTGCAGCCTGATGAGATTACATTCATAGGGGTTCTGTCTGCATGTTGTCATGCTGGCCTGGTTAAAGAAGGCCGTGAATTTTTTTCCCTACTGGTCTCAAAATATCACCTTGAGAGGAAAATGAAACATTATTCATGTATGATAGACTTGCTAGGCAGAGCAGGTCATTTAGATGAAGCAGAGCATCTAGTAAACACCATGCCAATGGAGCCTGATGCAGTAGTGTGGGGTGCTCTCTTCTTTGCTTGTAGACTGCATGGTAATATTACTCTGGGTGAAAGGGCAGCAATGAAATTAGTAGAGCTTGACCCGAGCGACAGTGGAATATATGTGCTACTGGCTAACATGTATGTAGAGGCAGGAATGAAGAAGAAGGCTGATAAAGTGAGGGTGATGATGAGGCACTTGGGAGTGGAAAAAGTTCCTGGATGTAGTTGCATCGAGCTAAATGGGGTGGTTCATGAATTTATCGTGAAGGACAAGTCACATACAGACAGTGATGCTATCTATGACTGCTTGCATGATATCACACAACAAATAAGGCACACTGCAAACATGATTGACATTTGTGCAACTGGCTGAGGCCTGCAAGATGTGATATGTTCGATTATTTTGCGCAACTCAACCATGTCGTGAGTTATGCCAGGCAATGTGCTAAGATAAGTAGGATTTGCTGATGTCCATCAAACTTTGGGCCATTACATCAGCATTGTGGCCCTTTTACAGCTTACCAGTCGATGAAAAATTCAAGTGCAGATGCTCAAGGCAGTATCTCAATTCACAAGGTACTGCTGCGCCTCACAAGCAAAAAAAATAAAATAATTAAGCTTGTCAAAAGTTGGATTGGTGCTTAGATGGCTTTTTTTCTTATTTCCGTACCAGTCCTTTGAATTCTGTTAGGCCGGTAAAGAGAGCAGGAAGCAGATCCATCTGTGAAGTCTTCAACTTTGTAAGTTATCCTTAAACTTTTCCTTTCCCTACTCACAGTTGTATCTGATACTGATTAAATTTGCATATGCTAGCCTCACGATTTAAGTTCGTGAAAAATATTCTTTGCAAATGATAATGTCAAATACATCACCAATTGGACCTCCTAAAAGGGGAAGTTGCAAAAGATGACTCTTATAAACCAAAAGAGCTCTGTAAGAATTCAGTAATTTGTAGCAGTATACAATTTGTTGCTGAAAATAAGCACTATTGACAAAAAAAATCGTTTCAATATCTGAATATCCGACTATAGTTTATAAGTTCATCAAGAGGGATAAAACAGAATATAAATGTCATGGAATGGTGACATCACTTAAGAGTCTGGAAAAATAGCATCTCTTCTCCTTTACCTCTAGCCATTAAGCCGAATTTGAATCTCCTGAGAGCCTTTAGGAAATACTTCGTGGTCCAACAAAACTTTTTTTTAATGTGAGCATAACATTAAGACAAGTCTACTAGTATATGATTCCATTGTAGTCAGCCATGTGTCGAAAGAATCAGCAAAAACATTTATGCCAATTGGCATCAGATCCCTTACTTTGTCTATCATATGTTCCGTATCAAAAAACATGTTATGCCATATGCCAATGTTATGGTCCTCATCTAGTGAAGCAGCCAAACTTTTGCATCTGATTTTTCTATAATGTACTGTCACAGGTTCAAATCTCAGAGAATACGAAATGTCCCATTTAGCTAATTGATAGGGTTAGCAATGAGGTGATAACATTTCCAGTGATACTGGACTTTAGGTGATACAACGAATGCATGGCACATGGTCCGTTTGATCTTGCGTGTAGGAACATGATCACATCTGGTGATATTCAGGTCAATGGTTCGGGTCCACTATTGGTGGATATGCAGAAACACACTCTTTCCTTATTTCTGTGATAATTGAACTAACCATTTCTTCCTTCCCATATTTTCCTAGCACCTCCATATCTGGAGCACGAAACGTTGCTTGCGTCTGTTGGACCTGGACCCTCTCGGAGTGTGATTCAAAGTCTGGTGAGTGGTGACAGCCTATTCCTCGGCAAATGCCACGAAGATTGGACAAGCCAAGGTCAATTTGGTTAGTTCATTACCTAAACTTCTATAATCGCTAGTCAATGAAGAAACGCCATGCCAATTGTTCTGCAATTGCAGCCCGTAAGGATTGGATATTAAAGAAGTGTGTTTTCCAAAATAATATTATTTGAGCAGTACTCCCTCCACCCCATAATGTAAGACGTTTTTTGACACTACACTAATGTCAAAAAACGTCTTACATTATGGGACGGAGGGAGTAGTAGATTGTAGGATTGTATTCGAGGGCTAAACTTATGACCTGGAATGCATGTCAGTAAGCTATACGTATCACTATAGGTCAGACAAAGAGCAGATCAAGTAAGTATCTCCTTGGGGTACGCACATCAAGCTCAAATTCCGCAAGTGTTGTTCAATGTTGCTGGTTCCGATTCCTTCCTTTCTTGACTGAACCAAAGCTTCACGTTACAGCTTCAAATGAATGTGAAAATGTGATAGAATAAGGAACAAGAGTCCGGTACTGGATTTCAGAACGCTGCTTCGAATTTCTCAAATTTGCAAGTAATATCTAATATGTACTCGCTAACTTGCTAAGTACGCCATATATTATTTAAAGGTCTACTTAGATCAGAACAATACTGTATATGTTAGGCGGAAGGTGGAACAGCCCAATCGACCACCTCCCCCACCACAGTATTGTACTCGAGTGGGTGGATTTGAGGTGTCCAATCATTACTAAAAAAATAAAAAAATTCTGTTGCAATACTGTTTCATGCAAAATTGGTTGCAGTATTTTCTTGGATGTTTAAAGACAAAAGTTCATGCAACTTGTATGGAATAAATCCTCACCTAATGCAAACAAATCATGGAACAATGCAATTGCGGAGCTTAGCTTGGGTCATACGGGCAATGCCCCTTCTCAATATTTTAGCCTTTCATAAAATATCTGACATTAGCTCCAAGAGCTGGAGCTACTTACGCATCAAGGTAACCCTATTTCTCATACAGTTTATCCACCTTCGATGGCCCCTGCTTAAATACACTTATGCAGCATGCAAAAACAACCTGTGGAACATCAAAAATCTGCAAGTCAATACCAGGCTTATCACCTATGGTTACACCAGTACCAATACAGTCGACCCAAGCACGTTTACCAAAGTTCTGTGAGCTTGATGACGCAGTAAACGGCTGATTCTTTTCTCTCCTTAGGTTAGATAGAAAAGTAAGAGTTTCCTTTATTTTTAACTATGTACATCATACTTAAAACAAAAAATGTAGCTCCCCAGGTGATCAGCACATGTACATCAATTTAGGCATCTCCAACTCCCAAGTACAGCATGTAGTTCAGTTTATGTACATTTTCTGAATGCATCATCACTAATAATCAGTAAAATATACATTGTGATTCATCCTTCGAACTCACATTTCTGGATCTCAATGTCATTTGATTAAGTACTGTGATCAACTTTGCAAGAAATATTTTGCAGCTTCCAGTTAGGCAACAACTTCACTGGCTTCGTCAGTTAGCCCTTGCGTTTCTTTCGGCCTGACTGCCTGCAAATGTTTCCCTGAAGCTACCCACTGCATCATCTTTCTGTGTATGGTGTACGACAGGCGTCAAGGAAATGAAGACAGCAAACATACAAGGGATGAAAGTGGAAACAAAGGAAGAACATGAAAAGCGTGCTAGTGCATACCAACTCTGTGAACAAAGGCACAATTTTCCCTATCCTGTGGTTTGATGGTATGAGATCCCAAGGCCTTTTCGCCTTGTCACTCTCCCCCTTTTCATCGGCGAAAGAAATATGCTCATTCGGACAGAGATTCAGCTGTTGCAAGACCTGGGCCAGAGAACAAGACATTATAGATTTGCATGTAAACATTGCCTGAATGCAAGTAATTCATAAGTTGGTGACAAACATCTTTTGAGAAGGACGGCATGAAAGGCTCTAGCAAACAAGCGAGAAGGTAGACAACTCCAACTGAAGTTTTCATCACAGTCGCGCAACTAGCTGGATCTTGTTTGTAAAGCTTCCAAAATTGACTCTCCTGCATATCCAGGTAGAAAACCGGAGTCAAATCCCGTGCAAGTTAAATGATGCAGAGTAGAAATGAAATCAGCAAAGGAACAAGAGCTTACTTGAAGGTAAGCATTTCCCTCACTAGAGATGGCCATTGCAATCTTCAGCCCTTGTTTTAGTTTGACCTGTTAACGGCAACGTTTATGTCACATAAATGCTTCAGATCTATGGTACTTATTCAGATTTATTCACTAGTACAATTCAGAGTTCACACAGTTCAGGTTAATGCATTACCTTGTCCATTGCATCAATATACTGCTGAATCAAATTACCAATAGTTTCTGCTAACGACTGACTCAGTGGATGTATATCAGCATTAGGTGCTTCAGGTATGATGGAGCCGTAGCCAGCTCCTGCAGGAACAGTTGAAAAAAAAAATATCAGCACCACCAACAAAGAAAATTTAAAAGAGAATGTTCGTCTTCTAACCCTCTGGTTTTGCGATAAAGCTTAGCACTCGATAGATGAAGTTGCCCAAATTCTTTAGCAGCTCGTTGTTATGCTTTATCTGCAGACCTCCCCATGTGAAAGCTGCATCTGATGCCTGAAAGTTTTACAAAATAGACCAAAATGAACAATCTTACATGCATAGAGGTTTAATATAGATAATTCAATTTAACCGAAACCTAACCTCAGGACGATTACTAAGCAAGTAGTATCGCCACACATCAGCAGGAATATTTGTGGCTTTGGCGTCATTGCCAAAGACTCCAATGCCCTTAGTTTTCGAGAACTTTCCTGTGCATGATAACAGAGTGAACCAAAAAAAAAGATGTCCAAGAATAAATAATGGCCTGAACAAAACCTGTTCGATACCTGATTCATAGTTGAGATATTCAGTCGCACTAATATTCTTCATCAGAGTCCAGTTTTCACCAGTACCAAGTAGAGCAGAGGGAAACATGACCTGTAAAATTGTTACATATGCAGCAAAATAAGATTTCTATGAAAAGATAATATAAGAATTGCCTGCTACAGATCTGTATGCACTTGCACATATACTCCCTCCATAGCCCTTTTAGAGATTTCAATATGAACTACATACGGATGTATATATACATATTTTAAAGTGTAGATTCATTCATTTTGCTCCGTATGTAGTCCATATTAAAATCTCCAAAAGGTATTATATTTAGGAACGGAGGGAGTAGAATATATTGAAGCTTGTTAAGCAGCGTTGTACATAGAGAGGGTATTTGTATACCGGAAACTCCAAGTTGGCAAAAGAATCTCACCGTGTGGAATGGGACGTTGTCTTTGCCCATAAACTGATACAATTCGACATTCTCTGGGTTCTTCCACCACTTTTCCCACTCAGGCGTGTAGCACGCCGTGATGGAAATGTATCCGATTGGCGCATCGAACCAGACATAGAACACCTGAACCCATTCATCACATGGACAAACATTAACACAAACATGGGAGATAAACTTTCCAAAATGAATCTGTGCGTGCTCAGATGGATGGCAAACCTTATCCTTGTACTTCTCATGTGGGACAGGGACGCCCCATTTCAGATCCCTGGTGATGCAGCGAGGTTTCAACCCTTCCTTCAACCAGGCATCCGTGATGCGAACTGCGTTCTGGCTCCATGATCCGGTCGCCGAGGCCTCGTCGATGTACTTCTCCAGCTTCTCCTTCAGCAAGGGAAGCTCCAAGAACAAGTGGTCTGTGTCGCGGACGACCGGTATGCCCTCACAAACCTGGCGGATGGTAAAAGTTAAGCACATGGAAGATCGGTAGGTGGTGAGAAGAGCCAAATAGAACTGGAGGAGCTCCTCCTGCCTTGCATCTGGGATCAATCAGCTCGGTTGAATTCAGCAGCCTCCCACATCTGTCGCACTGATCGCCCCTCGCGGTGTCGTTGCCGCACCCCTCCACGGGGCATGAGCCCACGACGAACCTGTCCGCCAAGAACCTTTGGCATGATTTGCAGTAGAGCTGCAATAGACAGACAGAGTAAGGCCCTTGAAGCGAACCTGTGATAACATGAAACAGGGCGAGGAAATTGCGGCTTGAACAGCGTGAAACAAACCTGCTGCATTGTGTTCTCTGAGAGCCAGTTGTTGTCCAGCAGTTTGTGGAAGATCGATTGGCATATCTCTGTCTGCTGCGGGGTGGATGTCCGGCCAAAGTGGTCGAAGCTGATGTTGAACCACTCGTACACTTCCTTGTGGATCGCATGATACCTGCATCAGTCAGCAATGGGATGGATTTTCAGAAGCTATGCAACACAGATGTCGTTTCGCTCCTTATTCTCCGAAGCAATTTGCTTGAGTGCAATAATTTAATTTAATCCAAATTGCAGTGCTACTTTCAAACTTGATAGTGCAGCACGAATCATCCATACCGCCCCCTCTGATACGAATGAACCAAAATTTCAACCTCAATTTGCACAAATATCAGCTTCCGACGATACTATAATCTCCACTAAATATCACACTGTCACTTCTCAGGCTATGGACATGGACGAGACGTAAATAGTGAGGGTGCCATCCAGCAAGGGAGAAGATCGGCAACGACGCCGGGTGGTGTGAGTAACTAAGTTGTGTGTGTGGCGTGGCAAACCAAGCCAGAACTCTGAAGATTGAAATCAGTTGTGAATTCTCCTCCTACTCTCCCCCCCTTTGACTTTGAGTCGTCTTCTTCTTCCTTACGCAATCAAGGGGACATCTCACACACACACAGCAACAGTTAGCCAAACCCTCCCAAGTCTTTGCCCCAACGCATCCAAGCCAAGCCAAACTACATCATCATTTAGCCTACTAGCCCAGTTCGTCATGTAATAATGCGTATAATAATATCAAAAATCAAGTGGTGCGGGGCGCTCACTTGTCGCAGATCTCCAGGGGGGAGCATCCCTCCTCGAGGGCCTTGTTCTCGGTGGCGGTGCCGTACTCGTCGGTGCCGCAGACGTAGAGCACGTTGTGGCCGCGCAGGCGGCAGTAGCGCGCGAAGACGTCGGCGCTGAGCACGCAGCCGATGATGTTGCCCAGGTGCGGCACGTTGTTCACGTACGGCAGCGCGCTCGTCACCAGCACGTTCCGCCGCCCCGCCACCGGCACCTTCGCCTTCCCCGGCGCCGTCGACGACATCGCCACACCAGCCGATAGAACGCGGTGGGAGTGGTGTTCCTGTGTGCGTGTATTTCTTCCTTTCAG